CCCCAAAACCCCAAAACCCCATATCAAACATTTGGAAAATTTCAAACATTTAAGATATTATTTTTAATTGAAATATCATTGGTTTGAAAATGCATAAATGGAATAATCTAAATGATTAATTAATTTGAATTTTTAGATTTAAAGTTTAAATAAATGAGATTCTACTACCAATATTTCATAATGACCTTAGTTCTCGTAGTCTTGATGAGTCAATCACAGTGTATTAAAGTAAAGGCAAATAAGCATAATGCGGACCAAGACAAAGAATTCAACATTGAAAATCGGTCAGTACGTAAATGGTGATTTAACCATTATTGATGAAAGTAAATCATTATTATGAAGACATAATTCAGTTTAAATAATGAAAATATGTCATTAATTACGATAAATGTTTAATTCTATATTTTCTTTTAACTATTATGAATAATCTCGATATCTTTGTTTCTTAGTAATTTTGCTAAACTTATCATAAACTTTGAATACATCCGATTTATTTAAAAATGAATTCATTTTCTCTTTCAAAAATCATATTTTTTTTGAATAAAGAAAATCAAATTTAAATATGGGTCTAACCATATAATTAGTTTAGTTGTCTAAGTAATAAAGCTAATCTATTCATAAAGACTTGGATCAAACAATTTTAAAATGCTTCTGATTAGTTAATCATGACTTAGTTAAAAGATGAGAAGAAACATGTAATCAAACAAACTAATAATTGATTCAAATAATATCATACTATAAGGTGATATTTCTAAAATTATTAGAGATAACAAAAGTAATTAAAACATAAATCATAAAGAAAGGAAAGATGTTAATAGGATACTAATATGTCACCTTCTTAACATGCAGAAGCAAACTAAATCTAAAGGATTGTTAAGATCACTCAGATCTTTTATAATATAATTGAAAACATTTGCTATAAATTTAGTTCTATCATTATGCACTTGACAGAAAGAATAATAATAATAATCACTTGAAGGAAGTTGAAATTACATCGAACTAATTACTTTGAAATAAGTAATTATTTAAAATCTAGACAGGTGATCATTTTTCAACATTAATAAAAGAACTTTAATTTATGAAATTTCATTATAAAGTTTGTGTTAATGACATTAATTCTAAAGTTTTATATTCACAAGTTAGTAAGTTCTTTTAAATCAAATAGATGCCTTTTAATTAATTTATTTATTTCTACTACAAATGCAATCTGTAATCATCTTCTCGGGGTTTTGGGGTTTTGGGG